AGTCATAATTTTTTTTAATCTAGAGGACTCTGAAATTGACAGATACATTTTCGTACACCCACACATTCCTCACAACTGCACTTTACATGTCACAAAAAATTTTGAATGATTAAAAATGCTCCCTTTAACTAACACAAGGGAGCTATTATTACTTATCATTGCTATTATTGATATCCTTATAAATCTGCCAATAATATAGAATGTGGCCCTAGAAGGATAGTAAAGGGTTCACAATCTTTCTTTCTCCACTCAGTGGCGTGGAACAACTATACTCCTTTAAAAGGGCACCATTGAAAGGAACAAAAAAGAAGCTATTTCAAAATACTGGAAATGAGGCTTAGCTGCTTACTTTCAGGATGAAGACAATGGTGCCTAATCAATTCCACTCCACATTCCTTTGGACTCCGAGGATCCCGCACCTGAAGGCTAAATTGCACTGGTTCAGCTCTGTCTTTCTACCCCATCTTTTAATTGCAAATCTATTTCATCCTCCTTTCATTTACTTCTCTTCTCTTAAGTAAGAAATGAGGGAAATGAGACTGGCATTTTTATTTGTTTGCTTTTAGTGATCATTAGGAGTTCTCATCATATGGTATCTTTTGAAAATGTTGCTTTCCTATTTACACACCTGTGAAGTTTTACTGCAACTACTGAAATGTATTTGTCTTAAAATCAAAAGGGAAGCTTTGGATAGAAGAAGAGGTGATTGGTTGTAAGTGTCTAGGAATAGAGCTTGTGTGAAAAACAAAACATTCTCACTGTTGAAGAAAAAAGATTAAAAGGTGAATTTACCAACAAGAAGAATTTTATGCTCCTTCGCCCAACTCAAATAGTTTAAACTTAAAAGAAATTTTGAGAGGGAAGATGGGAGGGGAAGTGGGCTAGTTCCAGGTGACAACTCAGGGTTAAATTGACCCCACCCCACCCCCCATATCCCACCTCATCATGAGTCATTCCTCCCTTCCTTCTACCGATGGGGCTTATGATATCCATACACAACTCCAGAGGGGAAAACATTCCCTTTGGTACCAGAAGTGCCAACCACAACTAGAGCTTTCCATTTACAGCTGCTCCTGATGCAATGGTAGCAATAAGTTTTCTCTGAGATTGACTTCGCACTTTGAGGTTCTCTGCTCTTTTCACATGAGTCCTTCCAACACAAGCAGAACTGGGTAATACCTCCGTGTTAAGATCAAGTTGACTGAATCCATGCAGAAACGGGTCCTTACATTTAGCCTTGGTGGTGGAGTTTCTGGAGTCCCAAAGCACACTTTCCTACCCAGCTTTTGAGAAGAAACTGCCCAACCTGTAGAATGTATCATCTAAGTATGAGGCACAAGTTTCAGGGGACAAAGACCAAAGCCTCTTTTTGATACAAAGTCTTACCTTTCCTTCTCTTCGACCTAGCACAACTGCAGCAGAACAGCCGTGTACCATGCCCTTTGCATAACACATGTGCATGTTTTGACCACTGCTCACCTATATGCCCCCTCTCCCCCCAGTTAAAACAAAAATAAGAAAAACTAAACACACTTGCTTAGACTTGCAGATGACTGTATCAGGCACTTGACATTAAACTACTGAAAAACAAGCTTGGCCAGAGCCTTAACACTAGCACTTTCATTGGCATTACTTTGGTGGAAATACATATTAATTGTGTTTGGGGAAGGGGGAAGTTTTCAGAGTAACTACATTGCTGAATTTCTCTCGCCTAATCTCCTGATAAGTCTTATTTGGTTTCCTTCCCATGTGGAAAACCTATGAAGAGTTGTAGGTTGCTCAGAGTTTTGTTTATCTTCTTTTTTGCCCATTACCCCCATGCCTACCATTGGCACCTTGAAAAAAACTATCCAGGAGGCTTTATCCATCCACCCTTCATATGGGAAGTTGGAAAAGCATGTGTGAGTGTAGATATTGTCTCTAGTAAGCATTTAATATTCTATATGCTTCAAATGTTGGGTAACAGCTACTGTTCTATGGAACCATCCCCACAAAAGTAACCCAAACAACACAGAAGCTGGAGTATATCTAAAGTGACGAAGAGCCATTTTCTTTCCCAGTGCCCAGTTTCCTTGGGTCTTATTTGCTTGGTCTTCTTTATCCCAGCTGAGGATTGACTGTAGGATTTTTTTTTTTCTTTCTGAAACATGGCTGGAATAGGCAATCACCAGAAATGCTTCCTGGTATCCAGTGGAAGGAGGCAGCACAGAGTTCCATGATAACTCTGAGACTCAGCCTCATTATTGTGTTCAAAAGGTTCTGATGATCTTCCCAGTCAAAGAAGGATGGGTCCCCCTTCCTCTAGAACAAGTCTTGGCACGAAGAATATGTATAGCTTGTCCATTTTAAGCACTATGTTCTCCAAGACCATCTACTCCCCAGAGCCTTCACATTTATTTTTACTCCCATGTAACACATTTATTATCAGTAGAACACTCAAATGACACATTTAATTCCCATACAATGTCTGACACCAACCCGACTCCAGGTGCTGAATGTGATGACAGATCTAAAACATTGATGTCCGACCTTTAATTCTGACTTTGCGTCTGCTCGTGATTGTCCCTGGAACTTGGAATCAATACACTGCTTTTGGCACATCATTTATGTTCCCAGAATCTGGCTCCTGGCAGCTCACTAGGAAATGCAGATGTCTGTTTACAGCTGGCAAATGTAATATTAATTCCACTCGCACCAGCTCCAACTATTATCAAAGTGCTGAGCTTTTTGTATGCCAAGACTACCTACCTTTGTATTTATGTATCTATTTATGCATGAATGTATATGTAAGTATATATTCCCCTACTGTGTATGTCATGTTCATGTGCCATTATGGACAAAACAAAGAGGCTATTTATATTGGAGGAAGAAGATCAATTAAGCATTAAGGGAATGGAGCTCTATAAAGCTCATATTTATTATTTTTTAGACTGTGGACCTGAACGTTTTCCAACTGAGGCAGGGCAGGTCTGTGAGATAGTCACCGTTGATACTTCTTTCTCATCCTCTCAGTAGGTCAGTCCTTGTGGCACAGGTAAAGAGGGGCACAACTTTGCATGGGTTTGAATGCCGTTCTTTTGGATTCCAGGCACCCTTGCTGGCTGAGTCCTTCTTGTTCCAAGAGATGATGCAGAAAAGTCCTGTCAGCTCTTATTTGTCTGCTGGATCTGCTTTGAACATGGAACACTGAGGACATTCTTCCCCAAAGCAACTGGAGAAGCAGCCTGTATCAGAGGAAATTGTGTGTCACTTACACGTTCCCCTCCTGTTTGCAGTGTTGTGTTAATCAAGTGCTTGGAAATTAAGTCAGTTGCTCAAGTGCCCTCAGCTCAGAAGAGCTTCCTGAAACAAATACCAGAGTTGTCAACATACCCGCCATGTAATTGGCTTCCATCAGCTTTTTACTGGATAGTTTTCAAACAGATTAAACCAAAACTGGAGCAAGGAGGAGACAATAGCTGAAGTCATTGTACTCAGACGGGTGGACCGCTCTCTTCACACCGCAGGGACAGATGAGTGTTTTCTCTCTATATTCTTGCTACTAAGAAAATCCAGCCATGGAGTAAGTCCCATAGATTTCTGACATACACTTGCCTGAAAGGCTGAGAGAAATATGAAGGTTGCCATCTTGGTCTTTCAAGTGTGAAAGGGAAAAAACCCACAGTATTGATCAAGGTTTTTCTAGGGCTGATCTGCTTCCCAAGAAGATGCTTTTAGAAACAGTCTCTTCTGGGAATAGTTAGTGACTGATCCTTAGATTGCTACTTTGGTCCATCTGTTAATAGCATCTACTTTGGGTGGATAGGATACCACATTCCAAAAAGTCCTTGACATATTGCTTTTCTATGTTGTTAGCCTGTGAGACCATTGGCTTTCATATGAAAGTTGATAAAGTATTTTTGAAGATGCCAATGTCTGCTGAAGGTAGAGTAGAAATGAATACAAAAGGAATAGACATGATATGATTAGAAATTAATATGGTGATGAATTGATGGTGAGTAGTAAGGAAAGAAATAGAAAGAAGCATTAGATAATTACATTGATAGATTGATAAGCAGAGTAAATAGATTGCTACAGAGGAAGATGGGTGGGTGGATAATTGGAGGGAAAGATAAATCAGACAATTGAGTAGATGGATAACCACATGATTACTTCAATAGCTTGATAAACTCTAAATAATCAGCCATCTATGGATCATTTTTTTTTATGACTTAGACAACATTTTTTAAAGAGAAGTACTAAATTCAAACTGCTTCCCCCTTTTTGGTCAAGTGACTTCTTAACGTTCTTTTGAGTTGTGTGTGCATAGCCCCAAACCTCTAACCCTTACAGCTGATGGAGAAAGTGGTTAGGGCAGAGTGGTTAGAGAAGGAGAAAAGAATATACATACATATATATATGTATATATATATATACACATATATGTATATATATGTTTATATACACACATACATATGTATATATGTACATGTATGTGTATGTGTATATATATATAGTATATATATATATATATATATATATATGGATATGGGTATGTTGAGATATCTTCCCAGAAAGAAAGGATGTGAACCCGAATGTAATTAGATAATAATAAGCATGGAGGGAGGGATATGTACATTATAATAAGGAAAATGGCCCAAAGCTTAAAAGACACAGATAATAGGACACTTGGATATAACTCTTGCTGTGCACTACATTATAAGTCAAGTTGTGTCTTCAGGGTGTTTCTCATGAGGCACGTTTTTGCCCAAATGGAGCTTATGGTTTGGTGGGGTTGGGGGGAGTTTGGTAGTGATGATGATGGGAAGAGGAGCAGAAGAAAGGGAAGGGCCAAGGTAGCAGGGACAGATTCCATTTTTGGACACACCAATGAATGATTATCCTACATATGGTAGAATCTTGCCCACCCCTCCTCCCAACCCCACTCATTCAAACTGGAGGAAAAAAAATCAAATAAATCAACCCCCCCCCCAAAAAAAAATCAAGAAGAAGAACAGAAACAAACAAAAAAAAAGCCCAAACTGGTTTGCCCTCCGCAGTGTAGAGTAAAGTCTGTGATATGGAGAAGCAGGCGTTGCTCAGAGGACCTATGATTTCTTATCAAAACTTGATGAAGAAGTGGGCAAAGAGGGTCCCTGATAGCCAGAGACACGCCAGTGCTCTAGAAGCCGAGTTTACACCATCAATGACTGCTCCAGGCCCTGTGTAGGGGAAAGAGAGACAGATCCATTAGCATGCACCCAAAGGGTACCATACTTATTCCCTGACAAGCATAAATATAGACATGCTTCTCTGTGAGCATTCCCCCATCTCCCACTTCCCACAATCGATCCTTCCAAAGCTGGATAAATGGAAAACACCCATTGGGAGTATTTAGAAACCCCAAAAAAGGGCGATTCACTGAAGTACCTTAACCACTATAGCCTGCTCTCAAAGACTGTGGTTTAAAAAACAAAAGGGGTAGAGGGAGGCATTGGCATTTAGTTAGGCCTATGGGCTGAAAAGTTAGGGCAGCAGACAGGGCTAAGTGGTAGTGGCAGGACCTGACTGTCACTTCAGAAGCAGTACCTCTAACTATAGGGATGGTGTCCAGGACAGACAGGGATAGGAGGGGGAAGGCGGGCATAGGGCATGGAGACAGTCCATAGCCAAGAGAAGCATGTAGGGGAAAGAAAGAGGAATGGAAATGTTTTGTGAGCAACAGGATGCTCGGTGTTGGTGTGGCCAACTTCTCATCCTGTGTAGCTGGGGTATTGCGGAGGTTCCCTCGGAAGTAGCTGAGGAAGAATCAATAATTAAACTCCAGAGTTTTAAAGACTATGATTGGGTTTGTCACAGCAGTCAGCAGGGCCTCTCTGAAGGCCACAAAGAAGACTCTGTGTTCTGTCCAAATTGCCACCTAATGGCAATTACCCTTTCTTCTGGCCTCTCTGGCCCTTTTACACACCCTAGTGAGTCACCCACACTCCATTGTTAAACGAGACCATCGAGTCACAAGTGTTGCTCCTTTCTCTTCACCTGCCACCCTTGAGAAGACAAACCATGTGAAGTGAGATGGTTCTAGCCTGTTCTGAGGACCCAGGGCAAATGTATCAGGGTCTACTTCACCTCTGCTTTCCTCCATCACCTTTATTTGCAAGCCATAGAAATTTGGAGTCATAAGCAAGGCCAGTGGGTAGCAAGCAGAGAGTATTCCAGGGAACACGGAATCAAGTATAAGACATTGGGTGAGAAGCCATCAAGAGGCATTCCTGAGATCCAGTGACAAAGAAAAGGAGTTACAGACAAGACGTGCATGCCTCTTTTGCCTTCCTAAGCCAGGAAGGGCTTCCCTGATGTTTTTAGACGCAAATTGGCTTATTGGAAATAAGCATGATTACTTTAAGAAGCATAGTTGGTGCAGGGTCTCCTCAAGACAGAACTGTAGTCATCTGGCTTGCTTGTCAGTGTGATGCTGTGGATCCATGTCCTGCCTAGGAAGGGACTTCCTAGCAAAAGGGATGCAAACGTTTTGCCTGGGGAAGTATAAGCCTCTCGCTTCAGCAATGAGCACATAACTCTTCCAAGTCCAGGAATTTTCACACGGATACCTTTCCTTCCTCTGATTTCCAATGTACACAATTCTTCTACTGACTAAAAATTCACATTTACTTGCTTGCTTGAGAGTCTGGCTCATGCTGCTCTGCATTTTTGTTAGACAGTATTCACAGACAAGGACAGGATCCAGGCACAAGCCCAGTGCTATCATCCTCATGAAGGCTCCATACATATTTATGAAAAGTAGCCTGACTCTGGGGCCTCCATCAGTCAAGACATAGATCTTAAGGAACCATACTGGCCTACAGAATGTACCGAGTTGAAAAATGCCCAAGTTGGAGCTCAAGGTAATTCTCTATATTGTCTTCTTCAAAAGATGAATGATTAAGATTTTTTAATGAGTTTATAAAGAAGTGAACAATGCAGATTTATAAGACATATGTTTCCTTGAAGATATCTATCAAATAGATGATATATAGAAAAAGAGATAAAGAGATCTATCTATAAGTAGATAAAGAGAGAGGATGTATATTAAACTAATCATATGTATGTGTGGGTGGGTGTGTCTTTGTCTACTTCATGATGCTGATATTAATTTAAGAAATAACTGAAGGCCTAATAAGCTCCACTCAAGGGAGAAAGAGATCTTCAGTAGGAATCACTTTATCCCAAGTTCTACCAGTAGATTTAAGCATTTCTGTGGCTGTCATGCTACCAGCACAAGGTTGGATGTAGCTAAAACAAAGCAGAAAAAAAGCAGTATATGAGGAAGGCAAAGCATGAAGGGTGAGGTACAAAGAGAAAAGGAGGAAGAATCATAAAGACAAATGAGGATCTCTGGTGGTGTGTGGCAGTTGCAATAAGATGTTCATTACCAATCAGGCAGAGGGTTTATAGCCACAGTTAAACTTCAGTTGAGTGTTCCAGAGAGTGGAAACTGTGAGGGTGACTTAGCAGACATAAGGGGTGCTCAGCTTGCTTAGGATGATGACGGTGACATGTATTTACATGGTGCTCTCTAGGTGGCAAGCGTGATTCTAAATGCTAAATGCATATTTACTCATTTAATCTCCACGAAGCACTATGAGCTGTGTGTACTACTGGCATCCCCATTTTATAAATGGAGAAACTAAAGAACAAAGCAGTTAAGTGCTTTGCTATGGCGACCCAGCTTATACACCCAGAGCCGGAGTAGAACTGAATCACTGTCTATACAGTCAGCACCCTTGATTGTTACAGCTCTACATCCTTTCTGTGGAAAACGACACTTTGTGCATCTTTTCCAAGGACCACAGCAACACGTAGTGAGAGGAATAACTGCCTAGGCGTCTGGAGACCCAATTTCTTTGTGTGCTTCTGCTGCTCCCTCGCTGACAGGTATCCCCTCTCGGGCCTTAGTTCTCCCATCTACAAAAGGAGAAGAGATTGGGATTGATACCTCGAAGGCTCTTCTCCTATTAGCATTTTGAGTTATTGTATGAATGGAAACCCTACATCTGGTACTAGAAGGGACAGCTGGTGAACAGCCAGATGGCCCTTTCCAGTTGGTACAACTGGGTTTTTGCCCCTTGGCATGTCACCTCCTAAGACAGCAAGTGGGCACCAAACATTCCCAGGTCCTCCAATTTCCTTTTCTGGGGTCACATTTTCTATGCAGCTTCAAGGAGCTTTATTCTTTACAGGTATGAGGAGCCCTGCTTTGTGTATCAGATAACACGGCAATTTAATGCCAAAGTGTCTTTAGTCCATCAATCTATGAGCAATGGCTATGAGCAATCTACAAGCCTGACCAATGAGTTAATGTAATCCAATATAAAAGAGATTAAAATTAGCATTGCTTCCCTCAAATAGATCCTGCCCACATTTGAGATTTGGCAGGTGGGCTAAATTCCAGGACCGCAAAGGACCTATAGGAGGGTTCTTGAACTTTATTGAGAGCAGGAAGGAGAGCTCACATCTGTGAACCACTCTGTAGGTTGGAGGAATGTGAGATGAAAGCCATCAGCTATGAACTGATTTTTTAATTGCATCATTGCAGTAACCCTGATTCTACTGCTAATGAGGAAAATAAAGCACTTAGTTTGGGTCTCTCCCGTAGGGTTTCTGTGTGGTAAGGACACTCACCTGATTAGTCATGTGCTTCTTTGTGCTTTAATATCGATTACCACTGTCCAGCTAATTGGTGTGGTTCCAGAACACTTGGGGCTCATTTTTGGTCCCTTAGGCTGGTAAGAGGCTTTTGCAAATGTTAGCTCAATGAATCTGTTAAGGGAAGGGCATGCTACTGGAGGAACTCAGGAACAGCTGAGCAGGGGTAGTACTAATGCCTGAACACATAGCTTCAGATGTCCAGTTGACTCTGTTTTTCCTATACCTTGGTTTCTTCAGGTAACAACAGCTACATGGACTTCTCCAAGTACTTGGCACACAAGATAATACTAGCTATAATTTCCATAAACATGGTCAGGAATTCAAGTGGTGCCTTCCTCATCATCATCCCCCTACTCTCCCCCCCCTCCCCTTTCCTCCTCCATTTTGGTGGAAATAGGGAGAAAGTTAGTTCTTATATCAAACTTAGAATCCAGAATTTGAAAACATAAGCTGAATCTTCAATTGTGTGTTCTTCTACAGAAAACTAACCCTGAAATGCATCTGGTCAAAGGACAAGAATTTGAAGAAAAGATGGGACCGAATGTCTAAGGAATGGTGTCCTCAAATGAACAAGTAGAGTATGTGTCTTCTATGAACCTTAGGAAAGGTTTTGGAGGCACTTGTACCCCTTGGCTTTATTGTCTTGTTCTTGTAGCCCTAAATGTCCTTTGGGGTAAAGTCACTGACCACCATAAAAGTGTACCAATCCTGGCAACTTTGGAGTCAGACCAGTTTGGGTTTAAATCCTGACTCTGTGGCATGCCAGCTATGTGATCTCGTACTAGGTACTGTCACTTTTCTTACTGAAAATAGAGGTGATAATATTGAGTTCACAGGATAAAGAGGCAGAGTGATTAGTGTAATAGCTGGTACAGTGTAGTTAGGTGATCATGGTAACCATTGCTGTGGAGCTTTCATATCGCCACCTCCACCCCCCACCTCACACTTCTTAGTTGAAGCTAATATTGGCTTATTTCAATTTTTCCCAAATAGTTGAAGTTTTTTTCAGGTGTGGTGAGGTTTTTCTGGTAACAGAATGAGGAGATGAGATCATGAGAAAGGGGGATGCTGAGAGAGGCTGTTGGCCGTGAGGTGAGCTTGGGAAGACACAGAGCATTGAGCAGGGTGATGGGAGACATCCAAAGCTATGCTCCATGCAAGGTCCAAGGGCAAAGGATCAGTCTCACGAGGGTAAGGGACCCCGCACTAGCCTCAAAGCCATCACCATTCACTCAGCGAGTATTGATTGGGAAGCTGCTGTGAGCCAGTCTCTGTTTTCAGAGAGAAAGTCAGTCTCTGCTTTCACAGAGCTTATACTTTAATAAGACCTGGGATATCCTTTCTTCTAGTGTAAATCAGTCAACAAACAATTGAAAGAAGAAGGGAAGGAAGAAAAGGAGAGAGGAAGGAAAGCAAGGAAAGGAAAGGAAAAGGAAGGGAGGAAAAAGTGAGGGAAGGAAGGAAGGAAGGAAGGAAGGAAGGAAGGAAGGAAGGAAGGAAAGTTTTTAAATGC